TTTGTTAGGTTAGGCTGCGAAAGGACAGGCGATTCATTTGCGCTGCTGTGCACAGCTTTGGTGGGGTTAAATTAGGTGGGGCAGGGTCTCAGAGAATCACCAGGGCGGAGCAAACAGCGATGGCTGTTTGTCAGCTGTCCGTCAGCTGTCTCCGTGTCTCCGGGTCTCCACGTCTCGGCATCTCCGAGTCCCCGAGTCCCTGAGTCCCACGACCCCACAGTAACAATGATCCTTGCGAGCAGCTCTGCGAGAAAGCCACTCTCACTTTCCGACCCCCTGCCAGACAGTCCAGTTTCTCCCCGTAGGAGTCTGGGTCCCCAGAGTCTCACCAGAAATGAGTTCAATGCAGTTGGGAGCTTGTATCTCCCTTCCGATTGAAAAAAACTGCGCACCCAGTTGTAGCCGTTTCGAGCTCTTGGTGTACCTCTGCTCTTGGTGTCGCCACACCTCCTACTGAGTCTAAATGCGCTTTTTTCTTTCCTTCTAGTTGTAGAACTTCCACTCAGGCAGCTTTCCCGTGGTTCTGGATGATAGCCGTTTTGTCTTTTAGTTGTAGTTTTAATGTGGTTGTGGGGTGCGGCATGTACAGGTATATACCTTATGCCACCATATTGGTTCTCCTCAGCTGAGGGCATCTTTTTAAAAAATATATATTTTATTGATTTTTTACAGAGAGGAAGGGAGAGGGATAGAGAGTTAGAAACATCGATGTGAGAAACATCGATCAGCTGCCTCCTGCACACCTCCTACTGGGGATGTGCACGCAACCAAGGTACATGCCCTTGACCAGAATCAAACTTGAGACCTTTCAGTCCACAGGCTGACGCTCTATCCACTGAGCCAAACTGGTTAGGGCAGCTGAGGGCATCTTAATCTACATGTTATTGCCTCCTACTGGCCAAACACCTGAACAGCCATAGGCAGTTTCTCCAATCTGACAATGGATTCTGTATACTAACCCTGGCCTTTGATGTGTGTATCTACCTTGCCTTAGGACAATTTGTGTTAATAAAAAGCAAGGCATCCTGAGACAAGGAGAACTTAGTTCCTTTAGCTAAGTTTTCTCTGTCTCCCTAAAATGCCTTCCAAAATTATGTTTCGTCTCTGGACTCTTGATTAATTTACACACAGTGCCTTCTCCAGATTCCTGAACGCTTCTAGATGCTGGATTAAGACCACCGGCAACTGGAGTAGTAGGAATTTCAGGCATGGGAAAGTAGGCAATGTAGGCTGGGGCAGGACACCATTGTTTGGGCAACAAGGTTGTTAATCTTCCCATGATAATAGGCAGTTCTTGAATAAGAATGGACCACATTTCAAGGTTAACTGCCAGGTCCAACGTTGACTCCTGGGTCCCAGTGGTGTACAACTCCCAGCCAGGTTAGAATGCCCTTTCTTTAATCAGGACAAGGCAATCACAGTTAACAGAGCATGATTGATATTTCTTATAACTATAGCTAGTGCCCAATATCCTATTTTTATCCATAACAGAAACTTATAAATGGCCGTTAGGGATTATATTGCTCTATAGTCCTAACAAGTATGACTGAAAAGGAAAATGGGAGGTGGGAGGGGGGCTTGCAACCTAGTTCAATATCTGGTTAAAACTGTAGTCTTACTTCCCCACTCTGACTGACTTGGGTGGAGCTGCAGGGACCCTCAGGGGCTCGCCACAGGAGGAGTTATATAGGCCAGAGCCTCCCCACGAGTCAGTTCAGGCTTTGGATCCAGAATTCCCCTGGACTAGCAGATCTGTGAAGTAAAGGTTAAACTTTCCTTTCTCAGTGTGCTGGCTGATCATTCTCCTGTGCATTCTGCTACAACATGACTACCTACCATGATTTGCTTAATTAGGAATTTATGAACAGATCACCAAATGATTACTTTTATTAAGATAAAAAACACAAACCTGTAAAGAGTTTTTGTGAATTTATTTGAGCCAAACTGTTGACAATTGCTGGGAAGCAGAATCTCAATGTATTGGGATAATACTCCAGAGAATGGCAGTTTTTCACCTTGTTTTATACAGTACAATAAAATGAGGAGATGTAAGTGGGTTACATGAAATCCATTGGTGATAGATTAGAGAGGTGGTGATAACTGGAATGGTGAGCCTAGGTGTTTTTCCAGGGCTCGTGTCTCGTGACACTGAAGAATGAGCTATGTGGACCAGAAGATTTAAGCAAAAGTTTGTTACAAGCAGATTCAGACTTCCCAACGGGGAGGAGGCCCAAAGAATGGGTTGCCAGCAAAGCAAGTTGTTCTAGGAGTACTAGTATATATGTTCTACAAACCTGCTCCATATCTATGTCACCACCTGATCGATTCCGTTATTGTTTTTACCCAGCAATGAACCTGAACTTTCTCTGTTTCAGTGTGTGTACACCTTGTTTATTGCAGTGAAGCATAGTAACCTCCATCTTATATAAAAACTGCTGTTTGAAATTTTAACCCTGCTATTTTAGCTTCTGTAAACGCTTGCTTGTTTAGATAATAGGGAAACTAAGACTACTCCCATTCCAGAGAGGCCATAAACTATGTCCCAGACAGTGTTGTCAGTGTTGGCGCCAGGCCAGGCCTTGAGATATGGTCTCATGGCCCCTTCCCAGCACACAGGCCTTCTTTCTCAGAAGGTCTGGAAGTCTCATTCCAAATTTGTAAGACAGAGAGTTGGAAAAAGTAGAAAAAGGAAAGACTTCCTCCATGTTGGGGCTCAGAATTTGAGAGATATATTCCGCTCTGAGCCTGCTAGCGTAATAAAGATTCCTAATTAATTGGCTCATTAAGACGTCTTATGTTCCACTTGCTGATTTACAATATAACAGCATGCCCTCCCTTGTTTTCCCATGCCTTCTGCTTTGAGTCCAGAAACATTTTATGATTTCTGTTTGGTTGGTTCCTGTGGTTAGGCTGCTCAAACTGCCACGTCTGCCCCTGCGTATGTTCCACCTGCCTTTGTTTTCCACTGGACCCCTGCCCTATCTGCCTGCTTTTCAAGTTAACCCTCTCAGTGGGAGAAAGCAAAGTGGAGGAGAGGGGGAACCTCTAGGATTGTATAAAAAGTAAAATGATAGACACATACTTCTTTTACTTAGGCGGGTACAGGTTAGTTAACACTCAAAAATAACATGATAACAATAACAATGAAGGAATTTGAGTATCTGTCCTGGTGCCCAGGGCATTTGGTTGTGCCCTGGGGGGTATGGAAAAAGGAAAGTTACAAGTTACCCTGACATTTCATTGATATGTTATCATAGATGCAAAAAGACAGTAGGTTCAGTTAAGGTAAAGATTGACCTTGTCAGGGAAAATTCCAGCCTAGGATGTAACTACCCATCATAATTACTTTTAGTTAAAGTTTTAATTTCAGACCATTCTTTGTGGTTACTTTAGGTCTTTGAGTTTGCAAGACTGCCATGCAGGTCTTCCCTGAGCTTGTCAGGTTAGCATGTGGCCCCTTTTGTCCACACTTTCCATAGAATCCCTTTTTGTATACATCGTATATCTACCTTGGCCAGGTGTCTGTTTCAATCTTTACCCATTTTTAGTGGGGTGGTTCGTTTTAGAGCCCTTTGTATATTTGGAGCAGAAATCTTTGATCAGATTTGTGTTTTGCAAAGATTTTTGTGTCAGTTTGTGGTTTGTTTTTTTATTCTCTGAACAAGTTCTTTTACAGAGTAGTTTTTAATTTTGTAAAGTCTACATTATTAATGGCTTTTCTTAATTATACTTTATGTCCACAGCTAAAACAAACAAACAAACAAACAAACAAACAAACAAACAAACAAACAAAGTGAATGCCAGGGTTGTTTGCAGCACACATCACTTCTGATCATATTCCATAGAGCCATACAGAGGAACCGAGGAAATGTGACTGAGTAGCGTTCACAGGAGGAAAAGATGACCTGTGGTAAAGAGCAGTCTTTTCCACAGATACTCAATTTTCTACTGATAATCCGCATTCTCTTTGGTTGTGGAAACTTAATTCTGCTAAGTATAGGGTTTCTGGGTCTGAATTTGGGGCTGTCTGTAAAGCAAGGGCACCAGAAGGAAGCCCTGGGTGTTTATTGTCATGGTGTCAGCCTAGTTAACTGTTTTTATTCATCCTGTATGGCTCCTTTGTTATCCCTGGTCCCTGTCTTATAGTTACTCTGACCCTGGTACTTGACATTTTTATAGCCCCCACCTCCTCTTCACCAAACTAGGGCATATGGGACATTCTGCTGGGCCATTTCTTCCTAGACCTCCATACCATACAGCATGTTTTTCTTTGAGATCTTGGAGCCTCTCTAAAATTTATCTGTGAAGAGGGAATACAGATAATATCTGGGGTCATATCCTGAAATACAGTCTATAGGGGCCTCTTTATAGATATATAGGCATCTCTTTCTACTTCCCCTATGAATAACGGACCATTGATCTTTCAGGATTGGGGGAGAGGAGGTCTTCATCAGCTCTTTTGCTAACTCTATTGTTCATTTCTTGAGGTCTTCCCATTTTCCCCTTAGGAGTTTGACATTGGATCTCAAAAGCTGGAGGAGGTTTTTTTTTGTTTGTTTTTTTTTTTGTTTTTGTTTTTCCTATCTGCTCTGAGACGGTAGAATTTCAGATCAAATTGGAGAAACACCTAGAGCAGTGGTTCTCAACTTTCCTAATGCCGCAACCCTTTAATACAGTTCCTCATGTTGTGGTGACCCCCAATTTCATTGTTACAAATTGAACATAATTAAAGCATAGTGATTAATCACAAAACAATATGTAATTATATGTGTGTTTTCCAATGGTCTTAGGCGACCCCTGTGAAAGGGTCGTTCGACCCCCAAAGGGGTTGCGACCCATAGGTTGAGAACCACTGACCTAGAGAATAGTGATTCAAATATCTAAATATCACCCCACATTGGCAATTATTATGCCCATTTTACAAATGAACCAGGCTCAAGAAAATTATCTTGTTCAAGGATATACAGTTTTTAAATGTTAAAAATGAGATGTAAACTCACAATCTGTCTGACTTCCATGTCCCCGAGCTTCACCATTAGGACATTCTGATTATCACAAAGTCTGGTAAACAGGCAGCCCCAGCAAAACACACACACTGACTCAGAAACACATCCACATGAAAAGCTGGGACATTCCCTTCAATTTTATTGGTTTAAATAAATATTTTTCTTTTTTCCTGAAAGAGCAGCCCAGTATCAAGGAGCTAAGAGCATAAAGGGCATGAAAGTGAGGACCCCCAAGATGAATGAAGTCACCTCTGGAGGCCACGCAGATGTAGTAGTATGGTATTCCTCTGCTAGTGGATTGCTTGGATGTTGAGTTCCTTGGCTGGTGGCTTTCCAGGTTAGGGATGTCTCAGCTATTGGTTTCTTGCATGGTGGCTGATTTGGCTTGTTAGTGTCTTGGTGGCAGGTCCTGTTAGGGGTGGACCCATAGGACACTGGGCCTGGCCTTCATAAAAACAGAGTATAGTAATAAAGGATGCCTAAACCGATGAGTATGGCAAATACATCCAGCCAGCCAGTTCGGCCTGAGTTGATGTAAGCTTCTTTCCAATTGCTTTCCTTGTTAGCCTTCGTGGTCTGTAGGGATGGGAGCTTTAGATGTGGGTTTCTGAATTTAGCTTTGTGACACCATTGGGAAATGGCTGGACACCTGCTGCCATTGAGGGAAAACCCCAACCCAGGTCCCAGGAAGGAAGCATATGCAAGGGGGCAGGTAGAGGAGAGGATAGGTCATAGCTTAGGCATTATTTTACCTTGTAACTGAAGTATATAGCTAGAAGTCCCAGGGGAAAGAAACAAATTGTGGCCAGGACGGTCAGACCTATGTAATTCGGGGCATAAAATGCTAGTTCTTCAGCTGTTTGTGTAGGTTCTGGCAGCTTTTGATCCTCCTCATGTGGGACATCTGCGGCGGCTGGGGCTCCTGCGGCTGGGGCTCCTGCGGCTGGGGCTTCTGCGGCTGAGGAATCTGGGGTGGCTAGGATCTTGCCCGGTTTCTTAGAGGTCATGATCTTTCCACCCAGACAAAGACAGACCCCAAGTGTCTTGAAATCAGAGAGCCACACTCACTAGGCCTCCCCCTGCTCTAGCCAGAATCCCAAGACCCAAACCGTCACAATCTAGTTCTTCACAATGGGAGAAACCAGCACCTAAAATCCTGATTGGCTGTCCCTATAAGGGGGTGTGGTCTTGGGGTTCTAAGCTCCTCCCAGACTCAGAGGATGAAGCCAGGCTCCACCTTCTAGCCGAACATTGACTCCACCCATAGGAATTGGTTGGAAGTCATAGGGTTGAATCCTGCCTCCTCCTTCGCCTTGAGACCCTGTCTGCAGATAGGGCTGGAAGCTAGTTCCCAGAGCAGCAGGAGACAGGCAGTAAACAAGCCCAGTAAGAAAACTAGGAGATTTACAAACAGAGAGAAGGAAAATGAATTTTTTCAGTAGATTATGAAATATTACATTGAAAGTATACTTTAGTCTGTACTGCCAGAAAGAACAGAGAAAGGTAAAAAAGGGGAAGGCCTTTCTTAAAGTAGAATGTCATCTAATAAATGTGGATGGAATGGTGCAGATGGGTGCCGCATGTGGTAGGCAGAATTCTAAGACAGCCCCAAGATTTCTGCTCCTGGTATCCACACCTTCTCCCAGTTATTTATTTAAGTACTAATTTATGTGTTGCAGTGAAGGGATTTTGCAGATATAAGTGTTAGGGACAGAAATAAAATATTGGAAACTACTTATTATAAGAAATAAAATAAATATTAATCATGCTCTGTTAACTGTGATTGTTTTGTACTGATTAAGGAAAGCCCATTCTAACCTGTCTGGGAGTTGTACGTCCCCAAGACCTGGGAGTCAACCTTGGACCTAGAAGTCAACCTTGGAATGTGGTCCATCCCCATATCATAGAAAGAGTAACAACATTGTTGCCCAAACAATGGAGCTCCCCCCACCCCAGAGTCCACCTTGCCTACTTCCCCAGGCCTGTGATTCCTGCTTCCCCATGTAATCTTTGTCCTACCCAATATAAGCAACCAGTTTATGGGGGGCTGCAGAGCAGATTTTTGTGGATGACCTGCTCTCTCATACTGCGGCAGTATTGGAATAAATGCTCATATATGATTCGACCCTGTCTCTGCTTAATTGGCTCAAGTAGTGCCAGGCAGCCTGGACCCATTGTTTGTCCAGTTCCATAGGTAAGGTTTGTGAGAATTGTGAGAATAAACAACTAATCTTTTCTGTCAAAAGAAGGGAGTTTTAAGCAGTAGCCATGTTAACTCACATGACTTGGCAGCCGCCATTTTGAAATAGCAAAGGTCAACCCCTCCCTGTTCTTGAATTAGCCAATCATGCAAGAATGTGAGCCTAAGTTTTGACCAATCAAGAGTGAGGGACAGACGGTGTTAGTCAGGGATAGAACGCAAGTGGACTGTTGGGTGTGCGTGCTGTCCCTGTGTTGGCTGCTTACCCTCCTGCAGGAGTAAAGATGTTTACCTTGCTGTCTGGCTCCCGAGTGTCCTTTGTGTTCTACCAGGTTCCCTGGCTTGGGGGCTCGCCTTATTTCTAATAGGTTCTCAATCAGTTAATTTTAAGAATGGGAGAATATCCCTTTAGGCTATTGGGTCTAACCTAATCAGGGGGGTTCTTAAAAGGTACTGGGTCTCACTGGCAAAAAAATTTAAAGCATGAGACAGATTGCAGGCAAAGGAGATTTTCCATCACTGCCTTGAAGATGAATGGGACCGTGTGGCAAGGAATGCAGGCAGCCTCTATTGAGAGTGGCTCCCAGCTGACAGTAGGGCAATGGTGATTTTAGTTCTACAACAATAAGGATCTGAATCCTGCCATAATCGTATTTGTTTGGAAGAGTATCCTAACTCCAAATGAGAATGCAGGCTGGCCAACCCCTTGATTTTAGCTTTGTGAGATCCTGAACAGATAACCCAGCCATTCTGACCTACAGAACTGTGAGTTAATAACTAAGTTTGCTGACATTTGTTATGCATCATTAGAAAGCTAACAAATGCTTCAAACACCATAGTAATTATTGACTCAGGTAAAAATCATCAATGGATGCTGATACCTCTGGGTTTTAGTTGACAGGTTCCTAAACTGGAGGTTTTACAGGAATGGAGGGTGTGAGGGGCAAATTTGAAGGGAGTTTTAGGTGGGTAGGAGGTGACACAAAGAAGTCCACAAATATAGACTACAACATGGTTTATCAAAGATACAACTGTATTTAAGCACAAAGACCTTTTATACCCAGCCCCCTAACCCCTCTCCTTTGACAGCTGTCAGTCTGTTCTCTGTATCTATGAGTCTATCTATTTTGTTAGTTTATTTTGTTCATTACATGCCACATATGAGTGAAATCATATGGTATTTGTCTTTCTCTGACTGGCTTATTTCACTTAGCATAATAATCTCCAGGTTCATCCATGCTGTCGCAAAGGGTAAGATATCCTTCTTCTTTTTTTTTCTTTTTGGCATAGTATTTTATTGTGTAAATGTACCACAGGCTTTTAACCCACTCATTTACTGATGGGCACTTGGGCTGCTTTCAAATCTCAGCTGTTGTAAATAATCCTGCAATGAACATAGGGGTGCATATATTCTTTCAAATTAGTGTTTTGGGTTTCTTCAGGTAAATTCCCAGAAGCGGATTTTGTGGGTGATACGGCAATTTGTTTTGAATTTTTTGAAGTAACTCCATAATGCTTTTCACAATGGCTGCACCAATGTGCATCCCCATCAACAGTGCATGAGGGCTTCCTTTACTCCATATTCTCGTGAACACTTGTTTGTTGATGTATTGATAATAGCCATTTTAACAGACATAAAGTGATACCTCATTGTGATCTTGACCACATCAATGTCATAGAGCTTCTTCACAGCCAGTTGGATCTGGTGCTTGTTGGCCCTGCCATCCACAATGAACACAAGTGTATTGCTGTCTTTTATCTTCTTCATGGCTGACTCGCAGTCAGGGGGATTGAGGATGGCATAGTGGTCAAGCTTGTTTCTCCTGGGTGTGCTCTTCTGAGGATATTTAGGCTGCCTTCGGAGCCTTAGTGTCTTTGGCCGTCGGAAGGTGGGTGATGTGTGGATCTTCTTTTTGTGTGTGGCTGTGGATGCTTTTCAACACCGCTTTCTTTGCCTTCAAAGCCTTATGCTTTGGCTTCGGCTTTGGGAGGGGCAGGGGCTTCCTTCTTAGCTTTCGGCGCCATCTTCATATAAAAGCCACCCTATGTCTTTTGACTAGAGCATTTAAATCCATTTACATTTAAGGTTATTATTGATAGGTATTTATTTATTTCTATTTTTATTTTCTTTATGCCTATGATCTTCTTTCCTTTTCTTCTTTTTCTTTTTTTAAATATATTTTTATTGATTTCAGAGAGGAAGGGAGAGGGAGATAGAGATAGAAACATCAATGATGAGAGAATCATTGATCAGCTGCCTCCTGCAGCCCCCTACTGGGGATCAACCCCACAACTCAGGCAAGTGCCTTTGACCAGAATCGAACCTGGGACCCTTCAGTCCACAGGATGCTGCTCTGTCCACTGAGCCAAACCAGGTAAGGCTTCTTCTTTTTCTTAACACAGTCTCTTTAATATTTCTTTTTTTTTACTATTTGAAAAAAATCTTTATTGAGAGTATTACAGATGTAATACTCTTTCCCCCACCCCCTTTGTCCCCCTCCACCTGGTTCCCACCCAACCCCAGGCCTTCACAACCCTACTGTCTGTTTCCATAGGTAAGATATTTGATTAATCTCTTCCTGCCCCACCTTCCCCCTTGCCTGAGATTCATCAGTTTGTTTCATGCTTCCATGCCTCTGATTCTATTTTATTCACTGGTTTATTTTGTTCATCAGATTTCTTGTTAGTTTATTTTGATTTTTAGATTAAATTGCTGATAGATATGTATTTGTTGCCATTTTATTGTTCATATTTTCTATCTCTTCTTCTTCCTCTTCCTCTTCTTAAAGAATACCCTTCAACATTTCATGTAATACTGGTTTGGTGGTGATGAACTCCTTTAGCTTGTTCTTGACTGTGATGCTCTTTATCTGACCCTCAATTCTAAATGAAAGCTTTGCTGGGTAGAGTAATCTTGGTTGTAGGTCCTTACTATTCTTCAATTTGAATATTTCTTGCCACTCCCCCTGGCCTTCATAGTTTCTGTTGAGAAATCAGCTGATAGTCGTATGGATACTCCCTTATAGGTAACTAATAACTTTTCTCTTGCTGCTTTTAAGAGTCTCTCTTTGTCTTCAACACTTGGCATTTTAATTATTATGTGTTTTGGTGTGGGCCTCTTTGGGTTCCTCTTGTTTGGGATTCTCTGTGCTTCCTGGACTTGTCAGTCTATTTCTTTCACCAGGCAGGGGAAGTTTTCTGTCATCATTTCTTCAAATAGGTTTTCAATACCTTGTTCTCTCTCTCTTCTTCTAGCACCTCCATGATGCGAATGTTGGAACACTTGAAGTTGTCCCAGAGACTTCTTACACTGTCTTCATATTTTTGGCTTCTTTTTTATTTTTGCTCTTCTGATTGGGTGTTTTTTTGCTTCCTCATATTCTAAATCATTGATTTGATTCTTGGAATCCTCTACCCTACTGTTGAATCTCTGAAAATTATTCTTTATTTCATTTAGTGTATGCTTAATTTCTGACTGGTTCTTTTTCAGGTCTTTGGCATTCTCAGTAAGTCCCTTGATGGTCTCATGAAGATCCTTGAGTAACCTAATCACCATAGTTTTGAACTCTGTATCCAGTAGTTTGCTTGCTTCCATTTTTTTCATTTGTGACATGTTTCTTTGTCTCCACATTTAGGCTGCTTCCCTGTTTTTGTTTCTGTGTACTGGGAGAGATGCTATGTCTCCTGGAATTGGTAGAGTGGCCTTGGGTAGTAGGTGTCCTATAGGGCCCAGTGGCTCAGCCTTCCCAGTCACCTGAGCTAGGCACTCTAGATGCTCTGTGTGGATTGTGTGCACAGTCTTGTAGTTGAGCCTTGATTGCTGTTGGCATCACTAGGAGGAATTGATCTCCAGGCCAATTGGCTGTGAGGACCAGCTGTGACTACAGTGGAGAGTTGCTGTGCAGGAAACACTTCTATGGAGCAGGACTTGCTTCAGTGGGGCTTTGGTGCTCACTGAGTCTGCTTCTTGAGTGTGTCACTTGTGGATGTGTAGAGTTGTAATCTGCTATGATCTGAAGCTGTCCACCAGCTGCACTGCCTCTGGGGCCTCAGCCACTGCATGGGGCTACCCCGCAAGAACTACAGAGAGATCTGCAGATGGCTGCTATTTGCTATTTGTTTTGGGCTTGGAGGTGCCCAGGCAAGGCCCAGCTGTGAAGCAAGGCAGGCTGGTGCTAGTGCTGGGTTTAGACCTTTGATTTACAGGTTTGGGGCATGCTGTCACCAGCTGCAGATTTTTTGAGATATTTTAGAAAAGTGTGAAGCCTGATCCATGGAAAAGCCACTGCAAAGAGCTTGGGTGGGGCAGGGTTTCAGGGAATCCACAGGGCAGAGAGAAAGGTATGTTTCAGGTTATGGAGACTCATATTTGGCTGCCAGGGGAGGTCCCAGCACAGGAACAATGACCCTGCAAGCACCCGCATCTTGGAGAAAGCTGCTCCCAAGTTCCTGTCCCAATACCTTACAATCCAGTTCCTCCCCGTATGTGTCTGAGTTTCCCCATGATGCTGGCTCACACCCACAGTTCTTTGTTCCTATATCCTCTTCCTTCCTCCCTACATTCTGTTTGCCTTGGGAAAATTCAGTAACCATTTCCATTAAAAGTTGACTATGCTGGAGATGGATCACAGAAGCCTATTTCCTGTAAGGCTGGCCCTGAGCTCCACTGCGTGGCCCTTCCCACTGATCAGAAGGAGCTTTCCAGGCTGCACAATGATGGGGTGCTAGCACTGCTTTGTCCAGGGACTTCAGCCCCAGGCTTCCATTGCTGCACCCACTCTGCAGTCTCCATAGCCAGTGCTCTCTGAGGCCTCCTCTCTCTGTCCCAGGCCCTCCCATCTCACCTAGAGATCTGCAGCCTCTTTAGCCTCCTCAGGTCCTTAGTTCTAATAGTCCAGGTCAGGGGAGGCTACATTCACCTCCTGGCCTTCAGCACCTTTCCTGTCCCCTAGACCTGGTGGTGGAGCTGAGCAGCTGGGCCCTAGGGCAGCAGTTGCAGCATAGTAGCGGTGGCAGTGGGTGAGCACACAATAGGAGCTAGAGTCCTGCTGGGTCAGTGGTGGTTGCATGCTGGTGGCACAGATTCCAGGCTAAGTCCCCAACTGGTGAGGGGTCAGGCTGGGTGCCTGCCTGGTGTGCAAAGGTCTTGCCGGTGTCTGTTGCAGGCATGTTGGGTCCTGCCAGTGTCCTCTGTAGGCACAGGGTCTGGGTTTTGACCTCTGTGGGCGTGCGGAGTCCCAGGCCCCAGTGAGTTCTGGAGAGGCTTGGCTGCCCTCCCTGTAGCCTCCTCCCAAGGAGAACCTTGTCAATCTTTCAAGATGGCGTGGACTCTGAATCAGAGCTGCATACCACGAGTGGCTATGGTGGCAGCAGCAGCTCTTTGGCCAGGAGAGCCTGAAACCACCCACCCTCAAGATTCCCTCACCATCAGATTGTAACACACACACACACACACACACACACACACACACGCACACACACACATCTGTACACTCAGTCTCTCACTTCCTCACTCACTCACACTCTTTCCCTCATCTGGGTACTGCTGGCCAACATATTGGTATCTCTACCTGCCTCTTATGCCAGTACCAGGCTGTTGTTGTTGTTTCTTTCATATTTTTTTTATTGATTTCAGAGAGGGAGGGAGAGGGAGAGAGACATAGAAATATCAATGATGAGAGAGAATCATTGATCCTGCTGCCTTCTGCACACTCCAAAGTGAGGATTGAGCCCACAACCTGGGCATGTACCTTGACCAGAATCCAACCATGACTTTCTGGTTCATAGGTTGGTGCTCAACCACTGAGCCATGCTGGCTGGGCCAGGCTGTTTTGATTATAATGACCTTGTAGTGTAGTTTGATATCAGGTATTATGATACCTCCAACTTTGTTCTTCTTTCTCAAGATTGCTAAGGCTATTCGAGGTCTTTCTTTGTTCCATATAAATTTTTAAAATGTTTGTTCTAGATCTGTGAAATATGCCATTGGTATTTTATTTATTTTTAAAAAGATATTTTATTGATTTTTTACAGAGAGGAAGGGAGAGGGATAGAGAGTTAGAAACATCGATCAGCTGCCTCCTGCACTCCTCCTACTGGGGATGTGCCTGCAACTAAGGTACATGCCCTTGACCGGAATCGAACCTGGGACACTTCAGTCTGCAGGCCGGCGCTCTATCCACTGAGCCAAACCGGTTTGGGCTGCCATTGGTATTTTAATAGGAATTGCATTGAATCTATAGATTGCTTTCGATAGTATAGACATTATAATGATGTTAATTCTTCCAATCCATAAACAGCATATGCTTCCACTTATTTGTATCTTCCTTAATTTCTTTCTTCAATGTCCTATAATTTTCTGAGTACAGGATTTTTACCTGCTTGGTTAAATTTATCACTAGGTACCTTATTCTTTTTGTTGAAATAGTAAATGGGATTGTTTTCTTAGTTCCTCTTTCTTTTTTTTTTAAATTAAATCTTTATTGTTCAGATTATTACATTGGTTCCTCTTTTTTCCCACCATAACTCCCCTCCACCCAGTTCCCACCCCACCCTCCGCCCTCACTCCCCACCCACTGTCCTCATCCATAGGT